AAACTTTTATCCGGTTATTAAGGCCGTATCAAACGATTTCATATATTCACATAATTGCCTCCTCCTAATAACAGGTCACAAATGCCACAATTTCGCCTGAACCACCGGACAGATACTTAATGCTTAAATCGTGTTCAAAAATTGCTATTTCTCAAAGAGACTGTGTTGAGATCAACGATTCTGGTTTCTTGCATTTCCAATTTCAAGCAACGATTGTTTCATAACTTGCTTTAAGATCGGCTCCAACTAGATTTGCTTCCCGAATTGCATGAAGCTTACTTCCGATAATTTCAGGTTAACAATGCTGGTTATTATATAGTCAGCGATTATCATCAATTCTTGTTTGCACAAGTCCTGCAATTATCTTGCCATTGATTTATTCATTGTGTATTCTTTTGTTTATTTGATGATTTTTTGCAGAGTGTATTACACTGTTTTTTAATTTACTGTCATTAAATTGGCAAACATCAACTATTTCTAAACAGCATCGCATTGCAGTATGCATTTATCATTCAATGTAGTATACAACTGTTGCTCGTTTTGTAGCGAAACGATAAAATAAAAAAAAGGAACAAAAAAAAAACCAAAAAAAAAAAGAAAGAACTACTTAATGGAAAGAGGGGCAAATCGAACAACATCGTTTGACACGTACACTTTTAAACAAACGAGCACATGGATAAATAGCATCCAAACGAGATAAACGTGGGTTTGCGTTAAAATAAACATATTATACGTGTATACAACACATAGGCACAAAGCGGGCCATTATTATCATAGCTCATGAAAGCTGCCAATGTTTCTTGGCATGTTGTCAAATAATTATTTCGCTTGTTGTTATTTTTGTTGTCGGTGGCGACGGTGTCTGTTGTTTTTGGAAAATGTAAGTAATGAGCTAAACATTAAAGGTTTTCGGTTTTCGGTCTTTTTTTTTTTTTTTTGGGCGGGTTTTAGCTAATGGCGGCAGTGTATGATAATGGCATTCTATATCAATATTGTCAGTAAACATTGCTTATCAGATCAAAAAAGATCATGGCGGCTTATGCATCATACACCAGCATATTTTATTGATATCAGCGGTATAAACATCATCACCGCACTCACACCATAGTTATATTTTGTTTTTGATAAATTTTTTGCTTGATAAACCATCCGAATCTGTCGAAACGTGTGAAAATGCAGAAACGTGAAATTAAACAAACCCATCGCGTTTGATGAAAGAGCAAGATAATTGAATAATAACAGGAATCCCACAAAAGGTTTGCCATTTAAATATAAAAAGGATGACGATGAAGGATGCAAACAGTAGCGCAGCAAAGCAAATTCGTTTTGCTTCCATTGTTGTTTATAAATCGATAAAACTGTTTGCTTTCTTTCTTTTTTTCTTCTTCGTTTTTAAAGTGTTCTGTGTACAACTGAGCATTTTTGTCTTAGTTGCATTAGTGCAGTGTTGCACCCCTAGATCTACGAACACATGGAAGACCAACCTACGCGGTTAGTGAAAGCTCGTTTTCTTGACTTGCCTTAAATACACTTGACAACGCGAACAGTCAAACAATAAGAACATAAATGGACACGCCTTCGAATCAATACAATGGAAGAGAACTTTCTATGACATCTTCCTTCTATTTCTTTGTCCAATACTACCAAGAGAGAATTAAGTGAAACATTGAAAAAAAAAAAAAATTTGAATTTTCTGCAAAGGATAGCATCTCTGGAAGACAAATAAAATTCGATTTAGAAGATCTCTGTTTAGAAGAAGAAGTAAGTTTTTAAACTAAAGACCGCAGGCGGACAGAAAAGTATTTGTATCGACTTCCGGACACTGCAGGAGACAAACAAGTATAACCAAAGCCATAGTCAATATGCGTCTGCCAGCTTTATTTATACAAACATATATACTTTGCACTGTGGACTTAGTCCGCTAGCAGCAGGCAAACAAGTGTAACCAAAGCCGTAGTCAATATCCGTCTGATACTTGTTTTTTATAAGCACATAAACAAATCATTAAAAACTTGATCGAAAAAATGGGCGAGATCGATCATCCCCTTATAAACACAGTCAAAAAAAAAAAAAGATTATTTGATAAGATCGGGTGAAAATATTTTGCACCGCCGATGTAAAAATGGTAATTATCGATCGAGAGGGGGGAGATGATCACCCTAAAGTACATTAAAATCCTTTGCATATCAGCAAGAGTGTTACCCCTTAGCGACCAAAATATTAAACAAAAAATGTTGTGGTTATTGAATCATCATTACATATATACATATATATATATATATATACCTATGAAAATAGCCATGTAAGGAAAGAGGAAAATGAAAATCATCATAAGCACATGATTCTGCAAATATATGCCAATAAAAAAAACATATATAAAAATATGTTTATAGTTATATATGAATGCATGAATGAATATGTGCATATTAAGAGCTCTTATTATTATTTTTTTTTTAATATTAAACCTTTTTGAAATGCAAAAAAAAAAAAACGTAGAAAAATATCCAAAATATTTTTCCCTACAGCGACACACGCACACATATAGCTATGCAGCAACACAACCAAATATTTGTACATAATGGATAATATTTTATATACTCACACACGACGCTTATATAAACCCGATAAAAGATAGTTTATGAATTGCTTGAATAGCCGTGAGTATAGTGAGTGAACACATGAATCGAATGAGGAGCAAAGAAAAGGAGAACACACAGTGTATGAATAAAAAAATTTTGTAAAAAAAAAAAGGGAAAAAATGCTATTGTGTCGTGTCGCTGGTGATGACGGCTGGTTTCTGCTAGTGGTTGCTGCTCGCATTTGTGTGCTGCGTTGTTGCTGATACAACAACTCGTGATCGTCATTTCGCATTTTGCATCCTCGTCTCTTTGTCCCTTTGGTGTGGCATTAAAGTCTTACGGAAATGGCAACTTTGTTGTTACATAATATTATAAAAATTGTCGGGGTTTTATTTTATTATTTTGTATTGAATTCAAAAGAAAAAAAGTAGTAGTGCAGAAGAAGAAGCAAAAAAAAAAAGAAAAAAGCAAAAGCATTTAATACTTTTTTAATGACAACGTAGCCGTTTGTCTCTAGCGCGCGTTTATTGCTGCGCTAAAATGTGAAATTATTACCATAAATATTAATAAAGAAAAAAAGAAAAATTCATTTTTACATATTCTAGGGAATTTCTCCATAGAATAGCAAAGCAAGCAAAGAAAAGCAGCTCAAGCAAAAGTTGTCGTTAATTCTGTCAGGAAAGAAAATTAATATTTTGCTGCAAGTTTTTTGATTAAACGATTAACAAGGGAATCTAATTTTAAGGCACTTTAGGCTTTTCTTCTCACGAAATTTAAAACGCGCCACGTGGTATGAATAATAAAAGGATAGGCGGGCGAAGAGACTGACAGCGAGAGAGAGATAGAGATAGATAGAAGGAGAGAGAGAGAGATACTGATAGAGAGATAGAGACAGAGAGAGAGAGAGAGAGAGAGAGAGAGAGAGAGAGAGGGATAGAGAGATAGAGAGAGAGAGAGGAGAAGATAATGCAAGCATTTTTCCACCCTATGATATAGTTTTGTGATCTTCTTCCTTGTGTCCTCTGGACAAAAACAACACTTTATTATAGGCAGAAAATCTTTTTCGAAAAAAGTGTAGGAAGTCAGAACTCAGAGCGTAATAATCTTTTCACTTTTTTTCTTTGCTTTGAAATTAATTTCATTGCTTTGCGATTTGCACAATGTAATCTACAGTCTTTGCTTTGGTATTAAGGAAATTCTTATGAGAAATGAATAAACGCGAGATGTTGTCTCTTCTCCGTAATTCATTTGTAATAAACTAACAAGTAAGAGAAGCTTTACATTCGCTTTTAAAAGGAACTGCATACATCTTCAATAAGAAGGAAGATCAAGCGGGACGGGGAGTGGGGTAATGAAAATCATTAAGAAAACTTTATGTTGTAAATATTTCTGATTGCTTTCAATATTTTGCGTAATAATTGGTTTTTACAAAAAAGAATAATTTATACAAATTTTACCTCTGGACATGAAACTTTAATTGTTAACAAAGAAAAAAAAAAAAAAAAAGACAAAAACTGACAGACTTAGCGAAAAGTACTTAGCACGAATTTCCGCTTATAGCGAAACGAAACGAATTGATAACGTTAGTATAGTAGAGTATATACACCCTCATCCTTGAATGGTGAATGGGAGAATGAAACGTCAGCATGAAATAATGCAACTGACATCATATATAGTCTGTCATAATATATATGCAAGTGCGATTAAAGTGTTAAACAACCCGCAAATGTAGAGCGTGGATTGTTTCTAATCCCGAAATGCCAAAGTGCAGGTAACGTGTCGCCATGATTATCATCTAGAATGACCCTGAAATTTGCAATACGTTCGTCGTCCTCGTTTGTTTTATTGTGTGTGTGTGTGTGTGTTTGCTTTTTTTTTTAAACTTTTCTCTTCTTCACTTTTTCTAAAATTCATATGGCAGACACAATAAATTGCAACAACGTTAGGTGTTTATTTTTTGTCTTTGCGTCTTTTCAATAAAACTGAGTTTACCTTTACCACCTTTTCTTCATTCCGATTTAATTGCAGGATGTTCTACATAAGATTTGTAATCCTCATGGTCAAGTATTGCGTATCGTTATATTCAAAAAGAACGGTGTGCAAGCTATGGTGGAATTTGATAGCTTGGATGCAGCTACTAGAGCTCGCGAGAATTTAAATGGTGCCGATATCTATTCTGGTTGCTGCACTTTAAAGATAGATTTTGCTAAAGTAAGTATTTTTTTTCCTTTTATCAAATAGGAATTTTCAAAAAAAAAAAAAAAAAATTAAATTAAAAAAAAAAATGTTAATATATTTTCTAAATTATTTTTAGCCTGAAAAATTGAATGTCTACAAGAATGAACCCGATACTAGCTGGGACTATACTCTAACTACTGGTAAGTTTTCATTTATAAATTTTTGCCTTTTTTTTTTTTCTTTTTTAAATATTGGTTAAGCGCACTTAGACAAAATTTAAAAAAAAAAAAAAAAAAATAAAAATAAAAATAAAAATTTCACAAAACACTTTAAAACACTAAAATGGTTTTGCTAATAATAACTCTTTCTTAAACATTATCGCGCTCTTTGAAACACCTCTCACAATATGTTTTCTTGCTCTAGCGAACAAGTCAATAGGATTCGAAAATGTATTTTGTAATATCTGGAATTAAATGATGTGTAATTGCTCCTAATAGTCTTTATGACTTTATTTCCCTCTCTTAATTTGACTTTTCTTCCTTTCTACCTCTGCCTATGTGGCAATTTACGTTTCCCTTTGCGTGTACTTGAAGATATCTATGTCTATCTGGCGTCGATCTGGCAACGATCTCTTTTCTTCCATATCTTCTTTTTACGTCCTCTCCATCCCTCTCTTTTTTCACCTACCTCTCTGTCTCTCTCCCTTTTTCTCTCTCTCGTTCTCTCTTTCTCTCCCTCTCCCTCTCTTTCTCCCTTTCTCTCTCTTTTACCCTTTCTCTCTCTCTCTCTCTCCCTCGCGCTCTCTCACTCTCTCTCTCTCTCTCTCTCCCTCTCTCTACTTGTCTGTCTTTTTACGAACATTTTCCTTGATTTCATTGTATTTGTCTTTTCTTTCCCTCTCTTTGTCTGTCTTTCTACGAATATTTTCCTTGAGTTTCTCGTAGTTGTCTGTCTTGATTTTCTTCTCTTGCTTCTTTTTTCTTTCTTTACTTTTTTGACCCATCATCTTTTTCTTGTTTCCTTTTGTGGGCTCCTCATGTTGTTGCTTTCTTTTTCTATTTTCCTTTACCGGTTCCCTTTTTCTCTTTCCCGCCATGACTTGTCTTCCTTCCATTTTTTCCCTCCCTCCTTATACCATATACCGCAACCAAGTGTTGACAAAGTTACTTTTGTACAGTGTGTTCTGTTTAGTTGTTGTTGTTTTTGTATTGGGGTTTATTTGTTTTTGATCAAAAGCCTTAACATTATAACCAAACTTTGGCCCAGCACTTAATCTAAGTTGTTTTGTATGTTTTCGATGACAACATATGTACACGTTGCAAGTGGCATGATTTCACCCAGTAATCTGTGGTTCTACATATGAACAACACACCCATACTAAAAGGGTCTGCCTTTCATTTTACTTTGCTTTTTGTAGGTCTAGCTTGTGAATTATGAAACAACTTATCCCATTTCTTACTTTATTTGAGTTCCTGTTCATTTCGATATGTGAAAGGGGAAAACCGAATGTAAGAAATCGATTCCCCTATACTTTAATGGTAAACAGAGGCTAAAAATTCATAAATCGGAAAATAATTTTAGTACCATCCCAAGCGTTGCAAATGTGACAATGACCGTCTAACTCTCTCTGATAAGCTAATGTTTATCGTTTCCTATCACTGTAAAAGTATTCAATATCCATTTCATTCTTCCTCTTATTCTTTCCATGTTCCCCACATTATCTTCCTTTTCATTCATTTCTCTTTTCTGCTATATTCCTCGATGTTGTTTTTCTTCGGTTTCTTTCTTAATTGTTATCGTCTCTCCTGTCATTCCCATCGCTTCACGTCCTCAAAATTTCAACCTTTCTCAGATTTCCTTCTCCATTCGCCATTCTTGATGGGTCTTTCAATTCTCTTCTAATATTATTACACTGATCGGATCGATGTTGTTTAGAAAAAAATTTAAAGCACATTTTTGTAGAAAAATCCGCTTCTAGTTAACCGGTTATTTTAATGGTAGCGATAATTGGATTTTTGAAGAAAACGAACGAACACATGGAAAACTAACTGTCAAATTTTATTAGTTTGAGGAATGTGTTCTCTTTTGCCACCGTAAGCTATACAGCTATAGCTATATTTTATATAAAGAAAATTTTCCTTTACCTATAATGTTTTTTACTTGACACACACTATGTGTCTGTTTGAAATAAATAAATTTATGTTTAATTTTTAATAATGTTGCCGTTGGTTGTCGTTGGGTTTCAGTATTTCCTTGAAAGCGACCAACCACCAGTACGTCAAAATTGTAGCATAATGATAGCTTAACTCTAAATTGCATTTAAAATGCCATTCAACTTTTCTTTCGATTAAATATATTATTTTAATGACCAGCATTTACAAATTGCGAGTGTGACATAACAACAAGATATACTGATTCAAACAACAACCATACACTAGCACAGTATTACTCTATCGCCAACATCGTTGCAATCTGAAAAATTACAACAAAATTACTTCATATATATATATATATAGATTTTTCCTCAACCAACACACAAACTTGCTTTTGAACACGCTTTTAATGTTAACTAGCAAGCAACCCACACACAACTATTACCCACCTCCCGCATAATAATATGTTAAGCAATTCTGAACATATTTACAAAGAATGACTCGCGGTAGGAAGGAGACGATGGAAAAGAATGACGGGATGAAAAGGGTGGTGAAACAAAGGTAGAGACTTGATATTTTATCTAATATATTGCCATTAAACATGCCACACAGAGTCAGTGTCTGTGCTGTGCTGTGTTTGTGTCCACAACTATTTTTGGTCTATGCTTGATGATATTTGGTGTTTAGGGTGACACACGACAAATTAGCCGCCAAGTCAACTTGAATTTGTTTCATGGCAGCCACATTAAAAATATATATATATATATGTATACATATATATATATATGTATATATGTATATATGTATATATGGGCAACGGTGGAAACATTAAATATGTAAGAAGGAAAGAAAATTAAATTAAATATTCCATCATTACTGGAGAATTTAATAGTGAAAAAAAAATATTTAATATCAGGTCAGCGCTATATTGCTGTTAAACTCTAGAGTATCCATCAAAAAGCCTCCACGGCGCAGATGACAGAAATGAATAAACAGGAAAATATGTGAAACAAGACGTCAAGCTGTCTGGTAATATTATTTGTGAACATGAGATACAGAACGGCTTTTGACTCCTCCCCTCTTCCCACCTGCCAGCAATACCAGACGTCTCACAAAAAAAAAAAAAAAAAAAAATAACAGTACACCTTGACATGATGATGATAATGATGATGATGATGATGATGATAGTGGCGTTGACTATGATCTTTGTGAAATATTCGTTATGCAACACAAAGGTCATCGTCTCGAGTTTCGAGTTTTCCATTGCCATTAAATTTTGCAGTTTACGTCATAGTCTCATTGCTTTAGGTAATAATGGTGTGAGATGGATGTTGTGGTTGATAATGCCGGTCACTAATTTTTCTAACAAATTTTCCTATTCCCTTTTGGGTGAATTCTTCCTTGGTCCGCTTTTCTCTCTCCTTTTTTTTTCTTTTGTATTTTTTTCCATTCCATTCAAATAAGGGCCGCCTTTTGATTTGTCTGACAATTCAATGCAATGCATATTCCCTTTTGCTCCTTTTTTTCGAGTTTACAACAAAAAACAACAACAACCGCAAAAAAAAAAAAAAGTTCTTATAGAGAGTGATTTAAACTTTAGTTGCAAATAACCTGCAGCCATTTAATTCTTTCTTTCTCCATAAGAGAAAACAACAAAAAAAAACAAAAAAGCAAACAAATTACTCTTAACAATTGTGTCATCAGTAATTTACAACAATTGCGTTTAAACACAATTGTACTGTACTCTAGACTGACACTATAAAGCCAAACCGACAAGAAATAGAAGGGAGACAGACAGACAGCAAAAGAACAGATTATACTGCAGTAAATCTAAATTAATTAAAATGCTTTATGCATATATGTGTACACCGACCGAGAAGGAAATTAAAGAACTTTAGCTGCATGTACGAAACGGAAAAACGACATCGATTACCACCTTTGAGCAATCAAATCATTTAAAAGAAAGGGTTTTAAGGATATTTTAAGGCATATATGCATCACAAATACATATATGCATTACAAATACATATGTGCATTGTTGTAGAGCAATAATCTCTCAATACCACGAAAGCTATTAAAGTAAAGGTATTCACCTCAAAGACAGAACTGGGAGAAGATGGCCAAACCTTCTTTCCCCCTATATCTTATACTAGATGTTTGAACCAATATCTAGAAGTCTCATGGCGACCCTATCTAGCCTGGAATCTAGTTAAAATGTTGTGCAAATGTGTTATCTTTTTTTAACCTTGGTAGGACTCCACCTATGATCTGTGTCAAATTTCTCATCCCAGTATTTTTCATAACCATAACCGGAGTTTACTTTCGCAATGAGAAGACTGTGCTTATCCACTGAGCTTCTACTTCTTTAAACGACTCGACGAAAGATAATTCTTGCCGTGAGTTTTGAATTTCAAGAAAAAGTAGAAGACGGTTGTAGAATTTAGGGAAATAGGAAATTTGCAGCACTACGTGTAAAGTTAATTTGTTGTGGAAAACGGTCGGAGAAAAAACAGTGCATAGCGAGAAAGCGCATTGTTTTCTGCTCATAATTTCAAACACATTGTGGATAGTTTGCCACGTTGTAAAGTTGTTGTACAACAATAAGCGATGCGAACTTAGTCTCAATAGTTATGAGTTACTGCATAGTCGAGTAAGTCACGACTGCCAGCCAAATTGGGTTCAAATCTCAATGCGTGGAGTATGCTTAGTCGTAGCTGTAGTGAGAACTTAGTCGGTGCGGCCGTAAATAAAGCATTAGAACCTGATCACCTTACACCTAGAAATGGTCATAATTTGAAATTTGAGTTGATAGTTCGCCACCTCGTAAATTTGCTATACAACAGTAATTGACACGAACTTAGTCTCAATAGTCATTGACTACCGCATAGTCGAGTAAGTCTTAGTCAGTAAAGGCATAACACTAGTATCTGATCACCTAACACCTAGATATGGTAGACGCGACAGCATGCGAAGCTATCATTGACGTTGCGCATGCTAGCTTAACCGGGTATGTGATTACGCAATTGTTCTGTCGACCACACGATGAT